TACATGTATATATGGCCACGCAAAAAACCGAACATTCCATACACGCATGACCAATAATTGCGCGTGCGCCCGTGCAAAAGAAAACATGCATGTTTGACATTCGCACACCCAAACAACAAAACACAAACACAACGATGTGACCGATTGCGCGTATTCGCACATGTGAGTCACCATGGATGGGGAAATAACGGTTGTTCTTTGCACGGGTATAAACAGATCGCGCCCGAAATCGGTTCAAACATGTTAACATCAGAAAAACTCACACCGAAATGTCGACTCGTACATGTTGTTCCTATAAAGAACACACCAATATTTTCAGCAAAGAGCAGCGCGCATGCAACAAACTCGCGTCATTGTCAGAGGCGTGTTTTAAACGAAAACGCTGCTTTTCGGAAAACCTGAAGCCAGTTAACGTCGACCCTTTTGGGCCGCCTCACCACGTACGCAGTAGTGGTGGTGGTTGTGGCGGTGGTGGTGGTGGTGGTGGTGATGGTTAGTTGTGGTGGTGGTGGTTATGGTGGTGGTTCTGGTGGTGGTGGTGGCTGTGGTGGTGGTGGTGGTTGTGTGGTGGGTTGGTGGTGGTGGTGGTGGGTTGAGGCGGTGGTGGTGGTGGTAGTGGTGGTGGTGGATGCGGTAGTGGTGGTTATCGTCGCTGCGTCCCCGCCGTCGCCGGCGCCAGCGCCGGCGCTGCTGGCCGGCGCCAGCGCCTTGAAACCTCTCCCCCCCCTCTGGGCTGCCTCTGGTCATCGTCGCTGCGTCCCCGCCGTCGGCGCTGCTGGCGGCCGCCGGCGCCAGCGCCGAGGGGGGCGGGGGGGGGTTCAAAACCCCCCCTCCCCTCCTTAGGAGAGGGGGGGGGGTTCGGGAGGGGGGGGGTTTGGGGGGAGGGCAGTCCCCTTGGTTTTGATCGACGGCGCCGAGCGTTGGGGGGGGACCCACCCCCCGGCTCGAAACGCGCCGCCGAAGATTCCCAAGGCAAGCGCCCGTGAAACGCGTTCTCTCACACATACACATGCACATGCACATGCACATACACATACACATACACATACACATACAAATACACATACACATACATACATAATACACACAAATTAACACACATACGCACACACATGCGCACACACACGCACACACACACCCACACCCACACCCACACCCACACCCACACCCACACCCACACCCACACCCACACCCACACCCACACCCACGCACGCACGCACACAGCACAGCACACCACACCACAGCACAACACAACACAGCACAGCACACCACACCACACCACACCGCAACACAACACACCACAATAATGCACACAACACAATAATACATCGCACCAGAACACAACACAACACAACATAACATACCATAACACAACACACAGCACACCAAACCACAGCACACGACACAACACACCACGACACGGCACACCACACCACGCCACGCCACGCCACGCCACGCCACAACACAACACAACACAACACAACACAACACATCACAAACCAACACAACACAGCAGGCACGCACGCACGCACGCACGCACGCTCACACACGCGCACACACAAACACACACATAACATACACTTACATATTCACATACACATGCACAGGCACATACACATCACATACACATACACATGCACAGACACAGACACACACATACACATACACACATGCACACGCACACACAAGTCCCAGGCCCAGGGCGGGCCCGGTCAGGCTTGGGGCCAGGCGCCGGCGGGCGCCCTTGTGACCCGAGCCTCTCCCGCTCGCGCGGCACGCTCCGCACCTGCGCGCGCCCGCGGGTCCCCGGTGGAGCGGCCGAGGCCAGGATCGTGACCCACAACGCCTCCTTCTTCCTGAAGAACGACGGGTGGGGCGGGGTGGTGTCCTCCTCCTCCTCCTCCTCCTCCTCCTCCTTCTCCTCTTCCTCCTCCTCCCCCTCCTCCTCCTCCTCATCCCCCTCCTCCTCCTCCTCCTCCTCCTCCTCCTCCTCCCTCCCTCCTCCTCCCTCCTCCTCCCCCCCCCTCCTCCTCCTCCTCCTCCTCCTCCTCCTCCTCCTCCTCCTCCTCCTCCTCCTCCTCCTCCTCCTCCCCCTCCCCCTCCCCCTCCCCCTCCCCCTCCTCGCGTGCCGCGCTCCCCTCATGCGGATCGCGCCCCGCGGGGCGCTCTACTCACGGCATCGGAGGGCGCGGTCGCGCGGGGGGCTCCGCCCAGTGCTGGGGGGTGCCATCGTCGTGGGTCGGTGGGTGCGAAGACCAGCGGCCTGTCCGTTCTGAACCTCGGCGGAAGCTAAGTCTGGCGAGCGAACAACGCACACACCCATACCCATAGGGAGGTCGTTGGGAGGAGGACTGGCTATGGGCATGGGTGCGGGTTGTCGGACCCTGGGGAACGCCCCCGTTCGAGTGGGAGCCCCTATCCGACAACACGCACCCATAGCCCTCTCAGATGCCCCTATGGGTATGGGTGTGTGTGTGTGTGTGTGTTGTTGGTTCGTCAAAGTCCATACGGACATCGCCGATGCGTCCGCAGCGCGATCCTTCGACCCCATCCGACGGGCGGGGCGGGGAGGTGTCCCTGCTGGGGGGTGCGATCGACGTGGGTGCGGAAGCAGTGGGTGCGAAGACCGGCGGCAGTTCCTCCCCCCTCTGAGCCTCGGTGGAAGCTAAGGCCATCTCCGTATGGACTCACTCCGTCTGGACTTGCCCTCTCCTGATTGGAGGCTGAGTCCATTCCATGCGGGGTAAGGCCAGACGGAGTGTTCGGTCTCCGTATGGACGTACTCCGTCTGGACTTAGCCTCTCCCGAGAGGTGGATTCGCTGTCGGCATCGCCGCGGACGTTGTCCATTTGATACATCGGGCCGTCTGCACAACAGCAGCCGCTGTCCTTTGTTGCTGTGCCTCGTGCCTTATACATCCCCAGGCCGCAAGTTGTTCGTCTTGGACTAAAAATATGAGAACACCAATGGGTCCAATAGGATCCCTTTTCGGGTGTGGGAGAGCTTCGTGGATCCTATTTTTGTGTTGCGTGGATCCAATCTCCTGTGTGTGTGTGTGTGGGAAAAGCGATGGATCCATTTATTTCCCGGGAATAAATATATAATAATAGTTAACATCCGGGACCCAGGGGAAATGGGATCCGCGGAGCACCGCAAGTGAAGCATCATGCTATCCACGGAGCTGTGGATCTGCAGACCCATGCTATGATTCTACGGGGGAGGGGGGTCTTCCCAGGATGAAGACGGGAAGGATGAGGGAAGAGGCAAGAGGAGGTGGGAGGAGAACAGAGGGGATCCGCGCGTCGCTTCCGACATGTGGGGCTCAAGAGGGAAATCTTTCGGCCTGCGTAAGTAAGTCCCGCGCAACTTTCGGGTGTCCAAGCTTGGGAGGTGCGAGGCCCGCGGACTGCCAGGAGCAGGCGGCGCGGCTGCCGTTCCTCGGGCGCCGGGTGCCCTCGGCTCCCGGTGCGAGGCGGGGGGAGCTGCGGGGCGCGGGTCCCAGGGGAGAGGATGGTGCTGTGCAGCCAAGGCCCGCAGCCAAGGACTCGCCGTGTGGGCCAGACGCCGAGGGAGATCTGCAGCCTCCCGCTTCTGGTGCCCTCGCTGTGTGCTGCCCTCCTCTCGTGGCCGTCCTCCGATGTGGAGCGGAGGTGGGTCGTCATCTCCATCAAGGCCTGCCGCGCCGGCTTGCCCTCGCCATGTTGTTCCACTGTTGCCCTCTTCTCGTGCCCCTCGACAGTCTATCCTGATATGTCTGAGCGGCTTCCTGCATAGCACACCCTCTGATCCCTCGCGCCTTTCCTCGTGCCCCGCTCCTCTTTGTACGTAGGGCACCCATACGGGCTCACACCGCTTGCCGAGAAGTGGTTGTTCCTCGTCCCCCTCCTCCTCCTCCTCCTCCTCCTCCTCCTCCTCCTCCTCCTCCTCCTCCTCCCTCCTCCCCCTCCTCGCCCTCCTCCCATCCCCCTCCTCCCATACCCCTCTTCCCCCTCTTCCCCCTCCTCCCCCTGCCCCCCCTCCTCCGCTTTCTGGCAGTGGGCCTCCTTCTGAAGCGGGCTCGCCTGGGTTCCCTTCGTGGCGTTCGAGGGATCGTTCTCCAGTTTGCGCTGCTACCCGAGCAGGCTCTGCATACTGGGCCACGCCTGCCGTTCCAAAGATCTGCAGCGTCTTCCATTCCCAGCATGCTCTAGGAGGACGAGGAGGACGATGATGATGATGATGATGATGATGATGATGATGATGATGATGATGATGATGATGATGATGATGATGATGATGATGATGATGATGATGATGATGATGAGGATGAGGATGAGGATGAGGATGAGGATGAGGATGAGGATGAGGATGAGGATGAGGATGATACTGCTGCTGCTGCTGCTGATGCTGCTGCTGCTGCTGATGATGATGATGATGATGATGATGATGATGATGATGATGATGATGATGATGATGGTGTTTATGCTGATGATGCTGCTAATGATGATGATGATGAGGAGGAGGAGGAGCAGGAGGAGAGGAGCAGGAGGAGATGAATGAGGAGGAGGGAGGAAGGAGGATGGCTGTTCTTCTGGCAGATGCTAGGGGCGGGCGGCCTCCCCTCGCCCAGAAAGCAACGCTCGGGCTGAGCTCTCCGTGCTGCCCTTTCGGCACCGTGGACGGCCTCAGCCGCGCAGGCCCAAGCCGGAGCGCGCCCTCGACATCCTCCTCCTCCTCCTCCTCTTCTTCCTCCTCCTCCACCTCCTCCTCCTCCTCTTCTTCCCCTCCTCCACCTCCTCCTCCTCCTCCACCTTCTCCTCCTCCTCTTACTCCTCCACCTCCTCCTCCTCCTCCTCCTCCTCCTCCAGCTCCTCCTCCAGCTCCTCCTCCCTCCTCCTCCTCCTCCTTCCTCCCTCCTCCTCCTCCTCCTCCCCCCTCCCCTCCTCCTCCTCTCCTCCTTCCTCCTCCTCCTCCTCCTGCTCCTGCTTCCCCTCCTCCTCCTCCTCCTTAGCCGCGCCGCCCTCCAGCTCTCGAGGGCGCGCGCCGCAGGCGGCTGCGACGCCCGCGCGCGGGGTGCGCGCTTCGACGGAAGCGCTCGGCAGGGCCCTCCTCCCCTCGGCGCGGCGAGCGAGGGGGGGAAGCGAGAGGGAGAAGGCCCGCTCCTGAAGCTTCGGGAGCTCCATGGGCCCTCTGAGAAGTTTTCGGAGCCCTCCCCGGAGTGAGAAGCAGAAGACTTCGCAGAAGGCGCGAGGGCTTCTGAGAAGCCCCGCCGCCTCCTGGGAGGGCCCTTCGCCTTCTCCGTGCCCCCCCTCGCTCGCCGCCGACTCCCCCTGCAGCCTCCCGCTCGGTGCGCCGGCAGGGACGAGGCGAGGGCAGGAACCGCGGGGACGAGGGCCGGCAGCGGTCCCTGCCCACCTTTGGCGCAGGAGGCGCTGTCGGCTTCGCGGAGCGAGCGCCCTCCGCTCGTGGCGGGCCTCGTCTGCCCTGCAGCAGCGGCCGCTGTCGCTCTTGGGCAGCACTCGGTGCTGGGCCTCGTCCCCGCTGCTGCTGTCCCCGCTTCGGGTGCGCCAAGCGTTAAGTCGGGCCTGTCCCCCTACAGGGGGTAATGTTCAAAAATAGTCAAAGATAGTCAGGGGACGATTTTATGAGTATGTTTGAGAGTTTGGGAAGCATTTTCGGAGTATCTTTTTATTTTTCGTCCAAAATCCGCCTCTAGGGGCACATGCCCGACGTAAGCCAAGTGTGGAAGCGCGGTCGCTGAGGACTGCTCGGAGTGGGTGGCCGGTGTATATGTGTGGCTCAGGAGCAGCCAGGGTACCCCCCAGGGATGGCCCAGGGCAGCCAGTGGGGTTCGGCCCGATTTGGGGGTGGCTCTTGGCCGGAGTGACCTTTGGTGCGCGGCTTTTAGCGGCGCGCCGGGGCCGCGCCCAATACGCAGGCCGCTACTGTCGCATCGCATGCAACGGCCGGCAAGCGGTGCACCAGAGTTCTCTCTTGCCCAGGGCCACTCTTGCATGTAGCCGCGGGAGGGTGCGGCAGCTCGTGTGGGCGCAAGGTGCTACCCTCGCGGCCCGCCGTACCCCGACCGCCCCGAGTCCCTTTGCACTGCGACCAAAACGTGGCCGGAGGTTGGCCCTCGGGCAGGGCCTCGTGGGCGAACACACACGTCCGCATCCGCGGCCGCGCGGGCCGGGCGCCCGGGCCGCGCCCCCGCGGATGCGGAGTGCTTTTGTCACGGATGCTCCGCGCTAAGCGTATCCGCGCGACCGCGTGCCCCTCGAGATCCGACGTTGCGGAGAAACATCAACATCGCGAAACATCACAGCTGGAGCCTTGAACCCCATCTTGCTGCGTCATTTTTCAAGCTGGATCTTTTTGTGAGGGCCCCTGGGCCCGAAACTGAGCGAAAACGCCGGTTGTGTAACAATTGCAGCGCCAGGGTCTGGTGATCGTTTTCTATTTAATCGCTTCGCTCATTCCGCCGGCCCATGCAGTCTCATGTCTGCCGTTTGCCCGAGGGCCTGGTGTCAATGCGGCGCTTTGGGGGTTCCTGGGGCCGCTTGGGGGACTCCTGGGGCGCTCGGGGGGGCATTTGGGGGGCCTCCTGGGGCCGCTTGGGGGACTCTTGGGGGCCTCCTGAGGGCCTCGTGGGGGCCTCTTGGGGCCTCTTAGGGGCCTCTTGGGGCCTCGTAGGGGCTTCTTAAGGCCGAGGGCTCGAAATGTTGTTTCGTGTTCCCTCTCAGGGGCCCCTTTGGGGGCGTTCTTGGGGCCCTCTTGGACCGTCTTGGAGGCTTCTTGGGCCGTCTTCGAGCCCTCTTGGGCCATCTTGGGGCCCTCTTGGGGGCCTCTTGGGCCCTCTTGGGGCGATCTTGGGGGCCTCTTGGGCCGTCTTGGGGCGTCGGGAAGCCGAAAAGGTGGAAGCTCCAAAATCTTTCAAAAACCTAAGGAAAAACAATGAATTTTGCCTCCGGGGGCCCTCTTGGGAGTGCTCTTGGAGGCCTCTTGGGGCGTCTGGGGGCTATCTTGGGCGTCTTGGAGCGATCTTGTGGCATGTCGGACCCCTCGTGTACCACCTTGGGGGCCTCTTGGGGGCCTCTTGGCCTTTCTTGGGGCTCTCGGGGACGTCTCGGAGCCGTGTTGGTGCGCTCATGGAGCGCTCTGGTGGCTTCGCCCGGGGATCAGCCGGGAGTCGCCCGGGGTACTTTTCGTCCGGGGACCCCCAGGGGCCGCCCCGCGCGCGCGAACTAGAGAATTGTTAACCAGTTACCGGAGATCTTAGCACGCCTCTGGCCCGTTGGGCCGGCGAATTCATTATTTAGCCGATCGTCGCGGGCCCCCAAACCTCCCTCCCTCCACCCCCCATGGAGTAGATCTTGGCTGTTTCGGGCGCCTTTTTCGAGCAGGTGGAGCCTTTCCCCCATAGGACGCACTGCTGCAAACAGTCGCCCTAAGCAGAGGTCCAGAGCCAGCCCCCCCCCCTTCCCCCCCCTCCGCCCAATGTCGAAGCGCCGAGTGAGAAGACGCCCACCCGAGGGAGCGAACTTCAGGGAATCGGTCCAGACCCCTGGGGCTGCGGACAGGGAGAATCGCAGCGTCCGGACGGGTCGCCGCGCCGTTTGCTCCGAGGCGCGGCCTTGCGTCTTGGGGAGGGCCCCGCGGCCACGGGGGGAAGCGCCGCCTCGGGCGCACGGTTCGCCGCGAGGTTGGCCGCGGTGCCGGCTTTGTCTACCGGGGCGCGTTTAGAAACAGGCGGCGCGGCGACGCGTGTGGGTCCTTGACCCAGGCTCCGACTGGGACGGTGCGCTGGCTGGGGGCGGGCAGGCACGGCGGGACCGCGCCACGCCAACTCGGCGGCGACCCCAGCTCGGCCACGCGCAGAGGGGGGGCAAGGGGAGGGGGGCAGGCTTCTCGGAAGCACCCCTGCTTCTTAGAGGACGCGGGCCTTTTCTGCAGATGCAAGGCCGGCACCTTCTAAGAAGCAGGTTCTTTCTAAGAAGCCTTCCCCCCTCCAGCGAGGGTGTTCCTGGTTGAACGCCGCCAGTGGCTCAGAGTCGGCCCGTATCGAACGATCTGCGCCATCGGAAGGCCGCGATCGTTCAAGGACCAGCGGTGCACGTGGTGTCAGAGGCCAGCGTTCACGCCACCGCAGCGTGGCCCCGCCGCACATTGTATTGAGGCGCGCAGGGGGCGAGAGGTGGCTCCGCTTTCCGTCCGGCGCCTGGTCCCCTGGCCATGCGCCTCTCCGCAGCGCTCGCAGTGCTTCGTGTCGCATGGGGCACACCGGCGGAGCCTCACTGGTTCGATCAGCTGGTGGACCACTTCTCGCCCAGCAGCTCCACCTACCGCCAGCGGTGCCCTGCCACTCCCCCCGCGCCGCCCCTACCACTCGACAAGCACACTCTCTCCTTGATCAAGCTTGCCAGTAGAGTACACTGCTGATTGCAGGTTTGTTGGTTGTTTCCCATGACCATGTGTCCAGATAACCCTGGGTCGCCACACGCCTGATATTGTCTTGGCTCACCTTGGCCTGCTCTAGATTGGGATCTAACATGGAGCTGTTCTTGATTAGTTTCCGCGTGAAAGAGATCGTCCACTTATGTACGCTTAGTTTCTACAGGGCTCTGTCACCTCTTCTTCTTGGACCCGCTCCCCTGCGAGTCCTTGGCATACTCTGAAGAGAGGCCATGTTGTGGACACACTTGCTTACATGGTCCTATGAGAGGCACCTGGCTTTCCATCATTCAGCGTGTCCCTCGTAGTTCGTTCAAGAGGATTACGCCATTCCGCCGACCCCAGAAGAAAAACGAAGTCCATGGGTTAGCACTTTGGGGCCTCTTTCGGGCCTCTGGGACCACTTCGGGCCTTCTTGGGCGCCTGCTGGCGGTCTCGGGGGTCCTCTTGGGGCGAAGGGCTCGAAATGCCAGTTCGAGTTGCCCCTCTTAGGCCCCTCTTTGGGCCCTCCTGGGCCATCTTGGGCGACTCTTGGCCCGTCTTGGGGCCGTGTTGAAGCCCTGTTGGGGGCTTCTTGGGCCGTCTTGGAGCGATCTTGGATGGCCTCTTGAACAGCAGTCTTGGATGCCGTGGAGACCGAAGAGGCAAACATGCTGAGCAAACTGCGCACTCCCAAGGGAGTGGATTGATTTTGGCCTCTTGGGGCTTACTTGGGGTCCTTTTGGAGCCTTCTGGGGCGTCTTGGAGGGCAGGCCCTCTTGGCTGTTTTGGAGCTCTCCTCGGCGTGTTGGAGCCCGGCTTGAGCCAGCTGGGAGGTCCACGGAGGGAGACTCTGGAGGCCCCTGAGGGCCTCGGGGGTGCGCTGTGGAGAGGCCGCCCCCCCTTTGAGAAGCGATTCCGGAGCCTTGGGGGAGGGGGGGAGGGAGGGGGAGGGAGGACACCCCACGTCCGACACGCCGTCTCACGCCCAGCAAGCGGGGGTCGGAGGATAGCCACCTGGGGACGTCAGGTACTACGCCAACTACACCCACTTCAAAGGTCCCGGCAGCCCGATCTTCGTCATACTGGGCGGCGAGGGCGGCATCCCGCCCGACGTGGGCATCTTCTACCCCTGGGTTGCGGACGTCGTGGCCGCAGAGTTCGGGGCGGCCGTGCTGGAACCCGAGCACCGCTTCTACGGTGAGTCTCTCCCGGTTGGTCCAGGCCCGTTCTCGTCCGGGCATTTCCCGCTCATGAGCTCCCAGCAAGCGCTCGCCGATGCCGCGTTCTTTATCCGCGCTGCCCAGCGCAGGCTCAACTGCACCCGGCGCGGCTCTCCAGGGTACTGCCCTGTCCTCACCATCGGCGGCTCGTACCCAGGCTTCCTCTCGGCGATGATGCGGCTGCGCTACCCCGCCGTCGTCGACATGGCCTACGCCGCGTCCGCGCCCATGCTTACCAGCCTCGAACTTATCCCTATCCCTAAGATTGACACGCCAAAAGGCGATGACAATCTTAGGGATGCGGCCCTAAAAAATGAGGGAATCCCTCAGATTGGCATCGTCATGAGGAGATGCCCAGCATAGGGATAGGTATATTTTCCAGGCTGGTAACATGCGCTTCTACTCGCAGGAGGTCGGGCAGTTCGAGTACTACGCCAGAGTCTCCGCCTCCGCCGAGCGGGCCCTCCCGGGCTGCCCCGCCGCCGTGCGGCGGGCGCTCGAGGAGACCCAGCAGTTCCTGGAGGGAGCCACCGGGCAGGAGCTGGCCCGGCGCTTCCACCTCTGCGCGGCGCCTCCGCGGGGCCTCCGCGGGGGGGACGCCGCCGGGCTCGCCGACGACCTGCTGTTCCTGGCGGAGCAGGCCTGCGGTGCAGAGGGGGGCCGCGTGGCCTCCGGGGGGGCCCTTACCACCAAAATTTGGGCCTCCAAGTTTTGGGCCTCCAAATTTTGGGCCTCCTCGCGTTGTGAAAACATCGCGACTGGAGGTTTTTCGCTATTTTCGGCCTCCGGGGGCCCTCACTGGGCCTCAGGGCGCAGAACCGGTCCCGAGGAATGGGTCGAGGCCTCTTGGGGTCGACGTTATGAAAAATCATGGCGTCGGGGTCTGGGTTCTAGGCCTCCCAGACGGGGTCGGAGCAGACGGGGTCGGAGGATCGCGCCGCATCGCCGATGCAGCATCGCCGATGCATCGGCGATGCGGCTCGGTGCAGAGCCCGATGTGCTTCACGTCGACGTCGCCGATGTATCGCCGACGTCGGCGATGCTTCGCCGGTGCATCCCACATGCATCGCCGATGCATCGGCGATGTGGCGCGATCCTCCAACCCAAATCTGTTCCGACCCCATCTAGGAGGCCTCTATTGAGAAGAAACACCCTACGTTCTGTCAGGGTTCCTTGGGTTTCTTTGGCTGGCGTTCGGCGTGGAAGGTCGCGCGCACGCGTTCGCGGCGTTCGTGCGGCAGCCGAGGTGCAAGAAGCCCTGGCCTGGGCCAAGAGACCTCGGCGGCTTTCAGGGTCGGGCTTCTTGCGGTGGGTTTCTTGTGGATCGGTCTCCACTGTAGTCAATCATGGGAGCCTTGGAAAAGCTCGCAATTGTGTCGTTAGAGTGCACCTGCGGGCAATTTTGGCGAGTGGGGTATGCATGACGAAGTTTGTAAGTCTTCCCTGTACATGGATCCGGCGACGCTGGAGGTTTCGCATCGCCGGTCGGTGTTGTTTCAAACCCTTTTGCCAATGCACCTCTGACGTGCACGGCGTCTCTCCCTCTCTCTTTCTCTCTAGCGTCCATTCGTGCCTGGCAATTGATGGGATAGCGCCGATTTAGCGACGGTCGGCGCCGATTCGGCGTCGATGTGCGTCGACTAGCGTGGATCAGCGTCGACTTAGCGTGGAGCAGCGTCGACTCGCAAGAGCCAACAAGATGGTGGGGGAGGCTCCCCTGAGTTGCCACCGAAGGCGTTCGCGAACCTGAACATTCGAAGAAGAGAAAACGCCATAAACATAAACATTTGGCGCTCCGCGCGGATTTCTTGGATCCGCGCTGGACCCCTCCAGCGGCGCCTCCGGCGCCGCCCCTGGCGCGCTCTGCGCGCCGGGGAGGGGGGTCCAGCGCAGATTCGAGAAATCCGTACGGAACGTCCAAAGTTTATGTTTATGCCGCTGTGGGGAAATCCAGAAGGTACCGATACCGCTACTCCCCGGACCCATCCTGGGGTGCGCTCTAACTAGAATTTTTCAAGGCAAATCCAGCTGTGGCGACGAGGGCCTCCCAGGATGCCCAGAAAATGGGGAACACCAGGCAGGGGTGGAGGTATGGGTTACCTCTTCCTCCTCTGAGTTTCCGGGGGCGGACAGACCCGCCAACAGTGACACGCCGATCAGCGAATTGTCCGTTTCCGGTTCTCGAAAGGGCGCCGCGGCCGTTTTTTGTTCCAGGCTTGCGCCCGCCAGGTTTGGGCCTCAGGTCGTTTTCACTAAACCACGCTTTTGTGAAGGGGGGTCTTCAGGAGGAAAAGAAACACACAGACACAATTAATCCTCGATCCCCAGAAAATATGGGAAAATATGGGCAGTGGGCGGGGAGACAGAAACCCAGAAAATATTGGAAAATATGGGGGGTATCTTTATTTGTGTGTATCTATTTGTGTGTCCTGGAGCCCCTTCAGGTCTGTCCCTCCCCGAAGTGTTTTCCCTTCTTCGAGCCATGGCGAACTACCCCCCGGGCAACGGGACCGGGCTCGCGCGGGCGTGCGCCGCCTTCGCCGCCGCGGGGCGCGCGGGCGGGCGCGCGCCCGTGGACGCGGTGCGCGACCTGCTGGCCGGGGCCGCACGGCGCAGCCGCGCGGCCAGGGCGGGCCCCGGGCGGGCGCTGGTCCGTGACGTGCCGCCGGCGGGGGGCCACCCAAAAGTCTGGGCCTCCTCGCGCGCTGTGAAGACGTCGCGGCCAGAGGTTTTTCTGTATTTTTTCGGCCTCCAGGGGCCCGTACAGGGCCTCCAAATTTTGGGCCTCCCAAGTTCTGGGCCTCCTCTCGCGGTGTGGAAACATCGCGGCCGGAGGTCTTTCGCTATTTTTTCGGCCTCCGGGGGCCCTCATACCGGGCCTCAGGGCGCCAAACCGGTCCCGAGGAATGGGTCGAGACTTCTGGGGGTCGACGTTCTGAAAAATCATGACGTCGGGGTCTGGGTTCTAGACCTCCCAGATGGGGTCTGAGTAGATGGGGTCGGAGGATCGCGCCGCATCGCTGATGCATCGCCGATGCGGCTCGATGCGGAGCTCGATTTGCTTCACGTCGACGTCGCCGTTGCATCGCCGACGTCAGCGATGCATCGCCGATGCATCGCCGATGCATCGCCGATGTTCCGCCGATGTGGCGCGATCCTCCGACCCCATCTGCCCGGACCCCATGTATAGGAGGCCTCTACACATGCGCGCCGACAGAGCACCCAGACACTCGGCGTCTCGAGGAAATCAAGGCGGAGGCTTCCTTTCCTCGGCTTCGGCCCCTCGGGGCCCCATTAACTGGGCCTCGGGTCCGTCGATAAAACGACTCGGGATGAGAGACCGGCCCCGGGGGGAAGCGGTCGAGAGGTCGGGGGCCCGCGCCTCGAAAGCATCGCGACGCCAGCTGCCTGGGCCCTGCCGCGCCTCTCTCCTGCCCGCCGGGGCGCATAGGCGGTCTGCAGGCGGCTCCGCGTCCTGCGCACCCCCGGCAGCGCCGCCCCCGGCGGACTTTCGAGAGCATCCGAGCTCCGAGCTCCGAGGCTCAGGCTTCCCGCCGGCGCCGCCGCGCGGCCGGGGGTCCAAGGCCATTGCATCCTAATCGCGCGTCGAAAATATACGGGTTGACTGTTCGCGTGAGAGTGACCGCTCGCGGGAGTGACCTTTGGTGCGGCCACCCCCCAAGCACTGGCCCGCGCGCGATTGTACTTGTCCCGCCCCCCCCTCCGGCCCTATGACGCCGCGCACCAAGAGCCATTCTGTCCGCCGAGAAGAGCCAGCCGTCGCGTGTTTGCTGTTGAATGTTAATAACTGAGCAATTTTTATTGTTGGACCCCCCCAGACGCTTTGGCGCTCTCGCCTCGGCGCCGGCTACATTTTCATTGAACATGAGGATCACGCGCGAGTGGTTTGGGGGGCGCCAAAACCGGCCCCCCAACATTCACAACAACAACAACAACAACAACAACAACAACAACAACAACAACAACAACAACAACAACAATAACGACAACAACAGCAACAACCACAACAACAACAACAACAACAACCAACAACCAACAACAACAACAACAACAACAACAACAACAACAACAACAACAACAACAACAACAACAACAACAACAACAACGCTCCCGCTCGAGACTTTCTGCTTTTTTACTCGGGGCCGGTGCTCTTGCTCGCCGCCGGGGGCCGCCGTCCCAACAAAACCGGCGCTACCGCTCGAGACTTCTACCCGTTTTACGCTGGACTGGCGCGCTACTAATTTCTCTCATTGGCGCCGCTCCCAGCAACAACAACGCTCCCACTTGAGACTTCCCCTCTTTTTGAACTCAAGGCGGTGCCCCTCCTTGCCACCGAAAACCGCCGTCCCGACAAAACCAGCGCTCCCGCCCGAGACTTCCTCCCGTTTTACGCTGGACTGGCGCCCGCTCCCAGCAAGAACAGCGCTCCCAGCAAGAACAACGCTCCTGCTCGAGGCTTCCTCCCTTTTTCCTCAGGACGGTGCTGTTCCTCGCCGCCGGCAGCCCCCGTCCCGTCAAAACCACGGTTCCCGCTCGAGACTTCTTCCCTTCTTATTCAAGGCGGTGTTCCTCCTCGCCGCCGACGACCGCCGTCCCAACAAAACCAGCGTTCCCGCTCGAGACTTCGTTTTTTGTTACGCTGGACTAGCGCCCTGCTCTCTCCAGCAGTGGCGCCACACCCAGCAACAACAGCGGACCTGTTCGAGATTTCCTCCCTTCCTATTCAGGGCCAGGTCTTTGCCTCGCCGCCGACAGCCCCCATCCCCACCAACGCAATCCTGTCGCTTGCCGCTTCCTTGTGCTTTGCCCTTGGCTGGGGCTCCACTGGCGATCTCGCATCGGCGCAGCAAGGCGCGGGCATGCGTTTTCGAGGCGGGATCTGTTGATATTCCCTGGAGGAGGTGTTTGCAAGACCTCATTGGGCGGGAGATCTGGGAATGGGAACAGCGGACCCGCTATAGAACAATAGTCCCCCATGATGGGGATGGTTATCATGATTTTCGCATGCGTCGTGTGGAAACATCGTGCATTAGGGTAACATGATTGTTGATGTTGTTGGTATAACTGTTGTTTCTATTGTTGTTGTGGTTGTTGGTGGTGGTGGTCTTGGCGTTGTTGTGGTTGTTGGTTGTTGTTGTGGCTGTTGTTGTTTATGTTGTTGTTGTTGTTGTTGTTGTTGTTTGTGTGGCGGTCGTTGTTGTTGTTGTTGTTGTGGTTGTGGTTGTGGTTGTGGTTGTTGATGTTGCTGTTGTTGTTGTCGTTGCTGTTGTTGCTGTTGTTGTTGTTGCTGTTGTTGTTGATTTTTTTTTTTGTTGTTGTTGTTGGTGGTTTCGTTGTTGTTGTTGTTGTTGTTGTTGTTGAACATTATTACTTCTAAAGAATAATTATTGTTGGGACCCCTGGTGCACGGCCCCCTCGCCGCGCCTAGGCCGCAGCCATGTTTTCATCATTTTCGTGAGGAAGTCTCCGGCAAAACGGGTTGGTCCGGATCCGGTTGTTTTGTTACGGGCGGTTTTCCCTTGCAAAAAATAAGGCAAAGTGGACATTTCTTGTTCTAACATAACCAAACTTCAAGAATCCCTTGCAAAAAATAAGGTAAAGTGGACATTCGCGCGCGCAAGACGAAATCCTTCCAAAACCTTAGTGTTCGTAACGATTTTAACATAAAAACATCAAAAAAACAATGGTTTTTCAAAAAAAAAGTGTCAAAATTTCATCCCGCGCGCTCTTGCGGATTTGTAGGAAACCCAACACTTTTTAAACATTTCTGTCAAACGGGCTTTTGCGAGCAACTTTTTCACGTGCTTCGAACTTCTCCAACATCGGTTGCAACCATCGGGCCATCATCGTCAAATAAACCATCGGGACAATCATCGCGACAACCATCGGGACAACCACAACCATCAGGACCTCCAACCAGAGAGAGCTACTCACGTGTATTTCGTAGACGAATGAGCCAGTATTGCACATTGAGGCCGGAACGACAACCACAGAACAAGAATGAGCATGTATCGTCTCACAACAACGGAAACAAGTCCTGTGGTATGCTGGCGCCACCCACGTGGTACCACTCAAAATAAGTGTCTTCGCTTGTGTGGTACAGAAACGGAAAAACGTCGTATCAGACGCTAGCGCCTCACCAGCCAAAGCAGTCCATATCATTGTAGGACCTACAGACAGTACCGGCGTCGTACTGGTTTACCGTGGTTTCCTATTCTAGCGTCAGGAACACGTTACCACCAAAAACCAGTACAGGTGTCCAGTGTTGGAACAGGGGGAAAAGTCGTATACTAAGCTAGCGTCCAGAAAATGTTACCACAACAAGTCACTGTACCCATGCGCCAGTGTAGTAGCCACGGTCGTCCGCAGGCCACGAAGTGAAGTGTCCGAACGTCATAGGGCGGGAAGCTGGGTGTGGGTGGTGGCGAAGAGTCGTTTGGAAATTTGGTAGAGCTTGAACCGGCCCCCCCACAAAGTGGGGGTATTGCCCGCCTCCTATGAAAACCCTGGCACTGGTGAGAACGGAGTGTCCCCACGTGCTAGTAATTGTTGTTGTTGTTGTTGTTGTTGTTGTTGTTGTTGTTGTTGTTGTTGTTGTTGTTGTTGTTGTTGTTGTTGTTGTTGTTGTGCTGCTGCTGCTGCTGTTGTTGTTGTTGTTGTTGTTGTTGTTGTGTTGGTGTTGCTGTTGTTGTTGTTGTTGTTGTTGTTGTTGTTGTTGTTGTTGTTGTTGTTGTTGTTGTTGTTGTTGTTGTTGTTGTTCGCTTTGCTTGCGAATGCGCGTGTGCGTGTGCGCGCGTGTGTGTGTGTGTGTGTGTCTGTGTGTGTGAGAGAGAGATAGAGAGAGCCGCCCGCTGCCTGGTCGCCTGGCCGCCGCCTTGCCCACCTAAGCCTGGTGCGGCCCGGTCCTTTTCGCTGCCGCCTGAGGAGGAGGAGGAGGTGGAGGAGGAGAAGGTGGAGGAGGAGGTGGAGAAGGGAGGAGGGAAGGAGGAAGCCAAGGAGGAGGAGGAGGAGGAGGAGGAGGAGGAGGAGGAGGAGGAGGAGGAGGAGGAGGAGGAGGAGGAGGAGGAGGAGGAGGAGGAGGAGGAGGTGGAGGAGGAGGAGGGCGAGGAGGAGGGAGGAGGGAAGGAGGAGGAGGCTCCCCCGCTGCCGTGGGCCGGCGCCCCACCGCTGAGCCTGCCCGCGCCCAGCGCGCACCCCGCTGCCCAGCGCCCGTGCTGCGGCCGCCGCCTCGCCCCGCCCCGCCCGCCGCCGCGGCGCCTGCCCTCCGCCCTGCAGCGCCCCTGCTAGGGGGCCTCGTGCGAACCCTACCCCTACCCCACGCGATTTCTGAGAGGGAGGGTGGGGTTCACTTCGTGCGGGAGCTCCTGAGCGAAGTGAACCCCACCTTCCCCCTCAGAAATCGTGGGGGGTAGGGGTAGGGTTCGCACGAGGGCCCCCTGCCTGCGGCGCCCCTGCCCACGGCCCATCGGGAGGGGCCGGCCGGCTCTTCTTTCGGGGTCGGCCAAGGAGGGGGGTGATGACGAGGGGGGGGGGGGGGATGTCATTGCGCGTGCCATGATATTTCCTCGGATTTCAGGGCGCCTCTTCGTAGTTCATTGCGTTCTTGGCCCCCCCCCCTCTGGGCCACGCACATGCTGCTGGCCATGATTTGCGCCCCCCCCTCTTGTACGCCTCTTTCTTGGCCGCCCCCGACGGGAGGGGCCGGCCGGCTCTTCTTCGCTTGCTTCTCTTCTGCTCTACCGGGCTCTCGCGCGGCTCTCCGCTCGCGGGCTAAGCTGTGACGAGGTTCTCCCGCCCGCGACGACCGAGAAGTAAGTGTATGTGTGTGTGTGTATGTGCGTGTACCTCGGCATGCTTGCATGTGCGGTCGGCTGTCGACAGAGACGGCTGGGTTCGCAAATTATCTGGCTCTGTGCCCCAGTCAGCCCGATTCACCCGCCCTCTGGACTCTTCCTTGGGGCAGCAGATCAAAAATATCTGTGTGTGTATGTGCGTGATTGCTTGTTCTTCCCCTCTCTCGGTGCCGGCGACCCCGCCGCTGGCGTTCAACGTGGGACGCCGCCGGCGACCCAGACTCGGCCGATGTTGAACGATCTGACGCTTCGGACACGGCCGATCGTTCAAGGTTGAACGATCCCCGCGGTGTCAGGAACCAACGCGGGGGTCGACACGACGCGAACCTGCCGTGATTATTCTGGACGCCAGAAATGGGTACGGAAAGAATTGGTACAATGTCCAACAGCAGTTCCTGTTCATTTTGAACAGGGTTCGCTGTCCACGCCGCCGCTGCCTGTGTCCGTTCGAGACAGAAGGCCGCCTGCCCAACAGCGGCCGCTGTTGGTTTGGGACAGCATTTGTTGTTGGGCACTGTACCCATTTTTTTCCGTACCCATTTCAGGCGTCCAAAAGTACGCGGAGTCGCCCCCTCCTCCCCCCCCTCCCCACTTTCGCACCGCACGTGCCCCGCGGGGTGGTGGTGGTACGGTTCCCCCGCTGGCATGGCAGTTGTGCTCACAGGCATGCGGTTGTTGTCCCCGCAGGCATGCTGTGGCGCTTGCGCGCCCACCCCTTCCCCCCTCCCGCGCAACGGAGGCTGCGGGAGGGGAACGAAACATTGCCAGCCTCGAACTTATCCCTACCCCTAAGATTGGCACGCCAAACAGCGATGACCATCTCAGGGATGCGCCCTCAAAAAGTAAGGGGATCCCTAAGATCGGCATTGTGATGAGGAGATGCCCAGCACAGGGATGGGGATATGCTCCAGGCTGGTAAAAAAAAACAACCTCTCGAGGGCCCGCGGCTGGACGAGGAGGCGCCCGGCGGCTGCCTGAACCTCTCGCAGATGCTGCCGGCTGGCCCCGGGGCCACGGCCCGGTGCGGGGACTGGTCGGGCTGCGGCGCCGGCAGCGACGGGGAGGTGTGGGACCTGCAGACCTGCACCTTCGAGGCGGGCCTCCCAGCGCGGCGCTCCAGAAAGGGTTGAGAGCCCCGAGTCCTCAGGGCCTGGGGCGGTCAGGGGTGGCTACAGACTCGCGCCTCACGGGGCCCACACTGGAGTTGCCCCAGACCGCAAGCATCCCGGATAGTTCGGGCGTCCAACTCTCTCGAGGTATCATGGGGGCGGTCAGGGGTAGCTACGGGTTCGCGCCTCGGGGGGTTCGAGATCGGCATTGCCCTGCACACCGTCATTTTCCCGGATAATTCGGGCGTCCAGCAGGTCCTTGCCTTCGAGGATCGAGGGGGTTGACGTCTCTTCCTCGGCGGAAGATCGGCAGAAGGTGGCGGAAGTAAAACGAGGCGGAAGTAAAAAGTCGCTCCCCGAAGAGATTGCAATGTTTTTTGGTTCAGAGTTTTTGGAGCCCACCACATGAGCAAGAGGTCATGATAATGATCCGTTCCGAGATTTCCCAGATGTCCCAGATTTCCTAGATTTCCGCATGTTCCACTCCTTACGCTTCCCAGATGGGATCAGAGTAGATGGTGTCGGGGGAGCGCTCCGCATCGCCGATGCGGCTCGATGTGATGCGGCGCAATCCTCCGACCCTATCCACTCCGACCCCATCTAGGAGTTCATTAGGTACGTTTCGAGATTTCCACGATGGTTGGGATTCCCTAGATGTCAGCATTTTCCACACGGGCTGCAGAAACGAAGGCCGACGAGTACTCCAGAACTCCTGAAGCGCATCCTGAGTGAATCGCATCATGGCATCATTCTCGTCAGAGGGCGGGTCTTGGCACAGATCAGGGCGGAATCGCAGTTTTCGGCATCCGGGAGCCCTCACCAGGTCCTTGGACCGTCAATCAGACGACTCGGGATGCAAACCAGGCCCTGGGGAAAGGGTCGGGGTTTCCAGGGACTCCGTTGTGAACAAGTCAGAACGTCGGATGCCTGGGTCCGGACTCGAGGAGGCATCGAGGTTCGAGGTCTTTGGACGGGCACGTGGGCACCATGTTGGTTCCCACTACTAGTTTTGCATTGTCAGAATATCGGGCTCCAAGTGGGTGCCCGTTTAGGGGTCTCAGCGGGTACCCACTTGATTACCAGTATTCGGCAAGCATCGCCTCCCGAGCTATTGGTAATCAAGTGGGTGCCTGGTTAGATCCCCCAAACAGGCACCCACTTGGTTCCCGATTTTTCATAGCATGAATCAGATTGGGAACCATGCTGGTGATCTCCCTGTCCAGGTCGCCCCCGCGGCCCCCGCGGCCCGCCCCTTGTGGTCCCCGCTTGGATTTCCCGAATATTGGGAACCAAGTGGGTGCCCATTTAGATTCTTCGTCTTTGCGTTTCCCACTATTACGCAATATAGCCTCCCGAACATTGGGGAACCAAGTGGGCTCCCGCTTAGACCCCCCGCAACGGGCACGATCTATTTGTTCCCTGCCATTAAGCCGTGGAGACGCCGCAGCTCTAACATAACTGCCACCTCACAGTTGACTACGAAGGGTATTCGCAATGAGGCATTGCAGGCCAACAAACATATAGAGGTGGCGTGCTAAATTCTTCTTTGCTAATAACGTTGCTGTGCAATCCGACTCCCCTGAAGCCTCGGCGGTGGCCATGGCGTTTGCAGACGAGGTCTTGGGACCGCCAGTGCTTCTTCCTTTCTCTGGTGCGACCAGTGGCTCCTGTGGCATCGGAGTCCTCCTCCTTGAGCTGTTTTGCGCCAGGTGCCACCGGAGGCGGCTCGGAGGAGCTTCCCAAGCTGGGAGCATAGGCACCGGGTGCAACGCGCTGCTCGCAGTTGCTTTAACACGTTTTTCCAGCAGCACCCCCGCTTCTTAGAAGGCGCGGGCCTTATCTATACAGTCGGGGCCCTGAAGAAGGAACCCTTTTGGTTGGGGAGGGGCTTCGCGTTCCTTAAGTGTTTCGCAGCTTGCCTCAGGTTTTCCTTATATTTTCGATCGGAAATCGAAGTTCAACTTATGGAAGAAAGGGGCCCCGTTCCTTATCTAGGGTTCCTTAGGTCAACGTCTCGACTGTAGGTGTAAGGCCGGCGCCTTCGAAGAAGCAGCCTCCCCTCTAAGAAGCCCTCCCCCCTCCCTCCACCCCTTTGTCTTGGCATCGCTCGGACGTGTGCATTCTTCCTTCGTCGAGGACCATCGAGCAGCATCCTTGATCATGTGGCGAAAAAACCCACGCACGAAACCGAAAAAAAACACAGGGAATGGACGTCCGAGCAATGGCAGGTGGTGCGCGCCGCCACTTGAAGGATAGAGGGCCTTATCTACAAGGAAGGCGCGGGCCTTATCTACAGGTGTAAGGCCAGCGCCCTCCCTCTAAGAAGCCCTCCCTCTAAGCCTCCCTCTAAGAAGCCCTCCCCCCCTCTAAGAAACCCTCCCTCTAAGACGCAGCCTCCCTCTAAGAAGACCTTCCCCCTCCCTCCACCCCCTCGTGCGCGCCGCCACTTGAAGGCGAGAGGGGGGAGCCTTTCCAACACGGGAAGCTCGCCCGGGCGGCAGGCTCACCAGGCGCTTGTCATTCAGGGGGGGGCGCGGCCTCGCTAGGGCGGGGCTTGGGGCGGCAGGGTGTGTTACAGCGTCGTTGATGCATCCTGGGTTTACTCTGATCCTCCTCCTCCTTCTCCTCCTCCTCCTCCTCCTCCTCCTCCATTCCCTTCTCCTCCCCCCCTCCCCCTCTTCCTCCCCCCCCCCTCCATCTCTCATCCTTCTCCGTCTCCCCCTTCCTTCTTGCCCTCATTCCCTCTTACAGCAGACATGTACCTTCGAGGCGGGCCTGCCTCGTCAGGAGTTTTGAACACATAGCGACGGAAGGATTCGATCAGTTTCGAATTGTTGGGCCGTCAAAAAATAAAATTACGCTACTGAAGAACCCCACATATTTAATTTAAATATGATGTGCTTGCTTATGTTTTTAATCTATGCGCCATCCTGCGTTCTGAGCCCTCGTCGCGAATATTTCCCTATGTGTCATCCAACGCCATATTGCGTGCCACGCTTTGCGAGCCCGCAACGGATAGGGAGACCACCCCCAGCGCACCCCCTGTGGTGTCGAGGAAGTGCCACGCCTGCCACGCTTTGCGAGCCCGAAACGGATAGCGTCCCCACCCACAGCTCCCCCCCCTGTGGTGCCGAGGAAGTGCCACGCCTGCCACGCTTTGCGAGCCCGAAACGGATAGCGTCCCCACCCACTGCTCCCCCCCTTGTGGTGCCGAGGAAGTGCCACGCCTGCCACGCTTTGCGAGCCCGAAACGGATAGCGTCCCCGCCCACAGCTCCCCCTTGTGGTGTCGAGGAAGTGCCACGCCTGCCACGCTTTGCGAGCCCGAAACAGATAGCGTCCCCACCCACACCCCCCCCTGTGGTGTCGAGGAAGTGCCACGCTTGCCACGCTTTGCGAGCCCGAAACGGATAGCGTCCCCACCCACATCCCCCCCTTGTGGTGTCAGGAAGTGCCACGCCTTCCACGCTTTGCGAGCCCGAAGCGGATAGCGTCCCCAAGCCCCCCCCCCCCTGTGGTGTCGAGGAGTGCCACGCCTGCCACGCTTTGCGAGCCCGAAACGGATATCGTCCCCACCCACAGCCCCCCTCCTGTGGTGTCGAGGAAGTGCCACGCCTGCGACGCTTTGCGAGCCCGAAACGGATAGCGTCCCCACCCACAGCTCCCCCCCTTGTGGTGCCGAGGAAGTGCAACGCCAGCCCGAAACGGATAGCGTCCCCACCCACAGCTCCCTCCCTGTGGTGTCGAGGAAGTGCAACGCCTGCCACGCTTTGCGAGCCCGAAACGGATAGCGTCCCCACCCATAGCTCCCCCTTGTGGTGTCGAGGAAGTGCCACGCCTGCCACGCTTTGCGAGCCCGAAACGGATAGCGTCCCCACCCACAGCTCCCCCCCTGTGGTGTCGAGGAAGTGATACGCTTGCCACGCTTTGCGAGCCCGCAACGGATAGGGAGACCACCCACAGCTCCCCCTTGTGGTGTCGAGGAAGTGCCACGCTTGCCACGCTTTGCGAGCCCGAAACAGATAGCGTCCCCACCCACATCAGACCAGCTTCCCCGGCGCCCCCTGTGGTGGTCGAGGAGGTGCCACGCCTGCCACGCTTTGCGAGCCCGAAGCGGGTAGGTCCCCACCCACAGAATCCCCCTGTGGTGTCGAGGAAGTGCCACTCATGCCACGCTTGCGATCCCCGAAGCCGGATAGCGTCCCCACCCACCAGCGCCCCCCTTGTGGTGCCTAGGAAGTGCCACGCCTGCCACGCTTTTTGCGGGCCCGAAACGGATAGCGTCCCACCCACAGCCTCCCCCCCTGTGGTGTCGAGAAAGTGCACGCCTGCCACGCTTTGCGAGCCCGAAACGGATAGCGTCCCCACCCACAGCTCCCCCCCTGTGGTGTCAAGGAAGTGCCACGCCTGCCACGCTTTGCGAGCCCGAAACGGATAGCGTCCCCACCCACAGCTCTCCCCTGTGGTGTCGTGGAAGTGCCACGCCCGCCACGCTTTGCGAGCCCGAAACGGATAGCGTCCCCACCCACAGCTCCCCCCCTGTGATGTCGAGCCCGAAACGGATATCGTCCCCACCCGCAGCTCCCCCCCTGTGGAGTCGAGGCAGTGCCACGCCTGCCACGCTTTGCGAGCCCGAAACGGATAGCGTCCCCACCCACAGCTCCCCCCCTGTGGTGTCGAGGAAGGGCCACGCCTGCCACGCTTTGCGAGCCCGAAATGGATAGCGTCCCCACCCACAGCTCCCCCCCTGTGGTGTCGAGGAAGTGCCACGCCTGCCACGCTTTGCGAGCCCGAAACGGATAGCGTCCCCACCCACAGCTCCCCCCCCTGTGGTGTCGAGGAATTGCCACCCTGCCCGCTTTGCGAGGCCCGAACGGATAGCGGGGGGTTTTTTTCCCCCAAACCCCCACGCTCCCCTGGCCATGTCGAGAAGCACGCCTGCCACGTTTTTGCGAAACCAAAACGGATAGCGTCCCCGCCCCAGCTCCCCCCCTGTGGTGTCGAGGAAGTGCCACGCCTGCCACGCTTTGCGAGCCCGAAACGGATAGCGTCCCCACCCACAGCTCCCCCCCTGTGGTGTCGAGGAAGTGCCACGCCTGCCAGTTTTGCGAACCCGAAACGGATAGCGTCCCCACCCACAGCTCCCCCCCTGTGGTGTCGAGGAAGTGCCACGCCTGCCACGCTTTGCGAGCCCGAAACGGATAGCGTCCCACCCACAGCTCCCCCCTGTGGTGTCGAGGAAGTGCCACGCCTGCCACGCTTTGCGAGCCCGAACGGATAGCGTCCCCACCCACAGCTCCCCCCTGTGGTGTCGAGGAAGTGCCACGCCTGCCACGCTTTGCGAGCCCGAAACGGATAGCGTCCCCACCCACAGCTCCCCCCTGTGGTGTCGAGGAAGGCCACGCCCGCCACGCTTTGCGAGCCCGAAACGGATAGCGTCCCCACCCACAGCTCCCCCCCTGTGATGTCGAGCCCGAAACGGATAGCGTCCCCATCCACAGCCATCCCCCTGTGGTGTCGAGGAAGTGCCACGCCTGCCACGCTTTGCGAACCCGAAACGGATAGCGTCCCCACCCACAGCTCCCCCCCTGTGGTGTCGAGAAAGTGCCACGCCTGCCACGCTTTGCGAGCCCGAAACGGATAGCGTCCCCACCCACAACTCCCCCCCTGTGGTGTCGAGGAAGTGCCACGCCTGCCACGCTTTGCAAGCCCGAAACGGATAGCGTCCCCACCCACAGCTCCCCCCCTGTGGTGTCGAGGAAGTGCCACGCCTGCAACGCCCTGGGCCCCCAGTGGTGCCGAGAAAATGCAGCGCCTGCCACGCTCTGCGAGCGTGTCAAGCTGAGCTGAGCCGAGCTGTGTTGTGCTGTGCTGAGCCGTGCTGGGCTGTGCTGAGCTGTGCTGAGCTGAGCCGAGCTGTGCTGTGCTGAGTGAGCTGAGCTGTGCTGTGCTGTGCTGCGCTGTGCTGTGTGCTGAGCTGAGCTGAGCTGTGTGCTGTGCTGAGCTGAGCTGTGCTGTGCTGTGCTGTGCTGTGTTGTGCTGTACGAAGAGTGAGGTGTGTGTGTGAGAGAGAGAGAGAGAGAGAGAGAGTGTCGCGGGTGCGGCGCGGCAGGGAAGAAAACCAGAACCCCACGAAGCATGTGGCGAACAATTCAGGATGAGAAAAGCCAGTTGTGGGGTAAGGTTCCATTCCTCGTGGGGTCCACGTTGCGAAACAAACCACGGCACCTGGGGTTTAGGAGAGCAGGTCCTCCCCATTAGAAGAACAAGTCGCCGCATATGTAAGCACAAACTTCGGAGGTCCACGCAGATTTCTCGGGTCGGCGCCAGACCCTCCTCCCCTCGCCACACGCGGCGCCTCCGACGCCGCCCCTAGTGCGCGGAGCGCTGCAGGGATGGGTTGCGGGGAAAGAGGTCCAGCGCCGACCCAAGAACTCTAGGGGGATGCCCGCAAGTTCCTGTTGTGCAGCGTGTTGCTCTTGATCCTCTTCACGGGGCACTGGGGTAAACCAAACAAACATGTGACGCATGTCGCGTTCAAGGTGCCTTGGGCATCCTTGGCGCTTCTAACGTTGGTGGTGTCTTGCGTCCCTAAGCCGACCCTTATGGCTCATCTTGGCGATGTTGAGTTTCCCTTCCGCTACAGGTGGAGCAGATCGGTTTCAACTCGACCTCGCAGATGTTCCCCAGCCGCGCTTGGACCCTCGAATGGCTGGAGCAGCACTGCGCGCGCCGCTTCGGGGTTCAGCCGCAGCCGCGAGCGCTCGTGGACCTCTGGGGGTTCGACGCGGAGAACCTGAAGGCCCAGGCGTCTCGCATTCTCTTCACCAATGGCCTCAATGACGGCTGGAGTGCCGGAGGCATCCTCACGAACCTCAGCGAGGCGACCGGCCTCGTCGCGATCAATCTGCCGAACGGGGCCCACCACAGCGACCTCTCCCACGCGCACGGCGAGCAGGACACTCCAGACGTCGTGGCGGGGCACGCGCGTGCTGTCGGATACATCCCGAGGAAGACAAACAGCCCAAGCATCAACTTTCGGAGGTCATTGTTTTTGTTATTCAGTGTTTTGCCGATCGGCGCGGGCCCTCGCCCCCCCCACCCTCCCCCCCACCCCATGGAGTGGATCTTGGCTGTTTTTGGCACATGTTTCGAGCAGGTAGAGTCCCTCCCCCGTAGGACGCACTGCTGCAAACAGTCGCACTTAGCACAGGTCTGGGGCCAGACCAACCCCTCCCCCCCTTCCGCCCAATGTCGAAACGCCGAATAAGAAAACGCTCACGAGCTCCGCGTGGATTTCTCGGATCGAGCGCTGAGCCCCCCTCCCTGTCGCGCGGAGTACGCCGCCAGGGGGGCCCCAGCGCCGATCCAAGAAACTCGCGCGGAGTGCCGGAAGTTTATGTCTATGCCAGTTGCTCTTCCCCGAACGTCGCGGAATGGCTCAGGCAGGTCAGGGAGACAGACGCAGAGACCCGCACGAATGTTGTCTGAGGCATCACTGCACTGGACGCGCCCCCGCGGATGCGGCATTTTCTCGGGGCTGCCCCGCGCGGAACGTACCCGTGTGACCGCGTACCCGCGGGCTCGCGCGCCAGAATCCAGACCGCTGGTGCGCGGATACGGAGATATTCGCCGCTCCCCAACGCAGTCAGATGGGAGGACATTTGTCCTCGCAAGAGACTGCGAAGTAACGTCGCACGAGCCGAGGGTTGACTCGACGTGTCGTTTTGGTGGCGCGTGCATGTCTCTTGAATTCACTTCGTCTGCACAGGCTTCGGTCTAGCTCCGAATGGAGAAACAGGTTCGCCGCTCGTGAAGCGCCGCGACCCGCACGGGCATCGCTCCGGGGCAAGAGGAGGTGGAGGAGGAGGAGGAGGTGGAGGAGGAGGAGGAGGAGAAGGGGAAGGAGGAGGAGGAGAAGGGGAAGGAGGAGGAGGAGGAGGAGGAGGAGGAGGAGGAGGAGGAGGAGGAGGAGGAAGAGGAGGAGGAGGAGGAGGAGGAGGATTAGGTTAGGCTCGCCACTAGACCCGCCACCCCGAGCAGGCACAGAAGCCCCCACTCGACATGGCGAGCCCGTGGTTTCAGTTTCAGCATGCTCCACCGCCGCTCGCAGGCCCTCTGGCCTGCGAGGGCCCACTCCTTGGTGCCAGCGCTGGCACACAAGGGTTCACGTCGGCGGGCCCGCGAGCGGCGGCGGCGGCGTCAGGCGCACAGGGCTGCGCCCGCGACACGCCGCTGGCGGCGAGCTCCACGACGTCCTCCTCGTAGAGCTCCTGCTCGAAGTACACTTTGCGGCCTAACCCCTCGCCGCGCAGGGGAAAACTGTGGCCTAACCCCTCGCCACGCAGGGGAAAACTGCGGTCTAACCCCTCACCGCGCTGGGGTTGGTGGCCTAACCCCTCGCCACGCAGGGGGTGTGTGCGGTCTAACCCCTCACCGTGCTGGGGATCGCCTGACCCCGCAGTCTCGCCCTGCGAGGGTCGGCTGCGGTCTAACCCCTCACCGCGCTGGGGTGGGACGTACTGCTTTCCGTACTGCTCCCTCTCATTGACGCGGTCTAACCCCTCACCGCGCTGGGGTGCTCTCCTCCACTCGGAGGGGTCGTCGGGCTGCCCCTGGATCGTGGTGATCGGGTCGTGGTGCCCTGGGGGCCGTACCCCCACTATCTCCTGTCCATCATGACGCCGCCCTTCGACCCTTTGTTCTCCTTCTCCTCGAGGGAGCCCTTGATCGTCGATACGGCCTAACCCCTCGCCGTGCTGGGGTGCAGCGTCGTCGTCCTCCTCGTATAGCTCGAGCTCGATGTAGTCGCCAGCCGCGGCCCTGGCTAACCTGCTCGAGCACGCCAGTGTATGTTCCCATCGGCCTAACCCCTCGCCGCGCTGGGGATCATCGTGGCCTAACCCCTCGCCACGCAGGGGAACATTGTGGCCTAACCCCTCACCACGCGGGGGTAAAACGCGGTCTAACCCCTCACCGCGCTGGGGTTGGTGGCCTAACCCCTCGCCACGCAGGGGGAGCCTACGGTCTAACCCCTCACCGTGCTGGGGATCGCCTGCCCTCGCAGTCTCGCCCTGCGAGGGTCGGCTGCGGTCTAACCCCTCACCGCGCTGGGGGGTGATGTACTGCTTTCCGTATGTCTCCCTGTCGTTAACGCGGTCTAACCCCTCACCGCGCTGGGGTACTTTGCTCCACTTGTAGCGGTCGTCGGGCTGTCCCTGGCTCATGGGGATCGGGTCGAGGTGCTCATGGGGCCGTACTCCCGCTATCTCCTGTCCATCATGACGCCGCTCTTCGACCCTTTGTTCTCCTTCGCCTCGAAAGATACCTTCATCGTCGATACGGCCTAACCCCTCGCCGTGCTGGGGTGCCGTGTCGTCGTCCTCCTCGTAGAGCTCGAGCTCGATGTAGTCGCCTGCCGCGGCCCTGGCTAACCTGTTCGAGCACGCCAGTGTATGTTCCCATCGGCCTAACCCCTCGCCGCGCTGGGGAGCGTCGTGGCCTAACCCCTCGCCACGCCGGGGTCCCCCACCCGCTGGGCTTGATGCTGCCTCCGATGCGCTTGTCGCCGTGGAGGCTCCGCACGTCCTTCTTGTAGGTGACGTGGCATCCGTACTCCCAGCAGTCGCCCGCTCAAGCCTGCAGCACCAGCTGCCGCGACTGAGGCCAGCTTCCACGGGGTCTCCTGCTTGATGATCGTCATCTGATTCAGGCCGTCGTGGGGGTGGCGGCCTTTGCCCGTCTGGCGCCCGATCTCCTAACGCCCTGCGGAACATGTCTCGTAGCCGTGCCAGTTCACGCCGATGCCGATGGGCCAATCTACGATACTCTTCGGGTTCTGTCTCTGGCGCGTGGAGTCGTTCGTAGAACTCATCCCTTCTCGCCGTTGTTTGTCTCCACGCACTCCCGCACTGCTGCTCGATGATCTGCTGCATCGTCTGCCCTGGGAACCAGCGCCTCACTGTGCGGCACAGGGGGTGATTGTTCTCGTCGGTGAGCATCTGCGTGAGCATCGCTACGCACCACTCCTGCCAGCTGTCGCTGTCTCTGGCCAAGCACGTAAGATCGTCGTACCACAGTGTTGCCCATTCTCTAAGATCAGCACGCATGTCGGCATAATCTTGTGGCCCCGTGTCCTCAACGATCGGCGGTAGCCCCATCGCGCCTGGATTCTGATCCAATACTCCTTTGCTGTCGTCCATCCTGCAATCGTCGTCGTGGTTATGCCTGACCACTACGTTCTGACTCCCCCCACGGTCGGTACTTTCAGCACTCGTGGCCAAAGGGGCTGCGTGCTTCCAGTGCGTGCCGTGGGGGGCAGATTCCGATCCAGCTGCATGACGACGATCTGTACGGTCTAACCCCTCACCGTGCTGGGGTGTGAAGTGGCCTAACCCCTCGCCACGCTGGGATACGCCTCGGTTTGACTCCTCCCCGCGCAGGGGCGCTTCGCTGAAGAAGTGGTCGATGTCCCTCTGCACCTCGGGGTCGTCGTAATCCTCCACCTCCTGTGACCTCGGCTCAGGCAGGGGCTCGCACTCGCAATCTGTTGGATGCACCGCTGCTGGTCGAATACTTGCCACTGGTGTCTTTCTCGTCATCCGTCTCGGTCGGGGTGTAGGGTGCGGTGCTGGAGGGGGCACATTCCCAACCAAAGGGCCGCTGTACTCATGCGGCGCTAGCCGCTCTTGGTCAAGTAGCTCACGCACCTGCCTAGCAATTTGAGCCTCTTGTGCAGCTCGCGGTGGTTCTTTCCTGTAGCCAGGGTAGCGTCCGTCCCGTATCTTGTTGAGCGCATCCTGCCCGTACTTGGTGATCGTCTCGCTGCACTGCTCGCGTAGCCTTTTCTCGATGGTCGTTCCATGTGCTGCGCACCGCGCGCAGAATAGCAGTCCGTACCGCACCCATTCGTTGACCACGTGGCTGCCATGTATCTTGCCATTGCCCATGAACCTGTCGCCCTTTACCTCGACTATCTCGTTGGCCGTGCTGTATGTAGCGTTGCATGCCGTGCTGGCAAACTCCTGCAGGGCGTCCGCTGTGATGTACTGTCTGCAGGCTGTGCAAAACCACTTATTCTTGAGCCTGACCATATCGTGCTGCTTCATCTTGTCGACGACTTCCTTTACTCGGTCCCTCTTGGCCTTGGCCTTGGCTGTGGAGGGCCTCTCAGCGCACCAGGGGTCAATGTTCGCCGTGTCCTCCAAGGCCTGCCTCGCTCGTAATCGTACATGAGCACAGATCGCATCCCATTCATCTGTACGTGGTATTGGCGTGGACACTCTTTCCCAAGAAGCTTCTGCCGCAACCGTAGCTAGTGCGTCTGCAAAACTGTTGCCCATCGCAAAAATCGGGTTGACTAGCTCGACCTCGTCCTCGTCCTGGTGCGACGGGGTCCACTCCACTTCGATGTGTCTGGGGGACGTGTCCATCACCGCCCTCTTGATGCGTGCCCATAAATCCGCGTTCTTCCCTCGCCCATGGTCTTGAGCTCTGCCTTTTGTCCAAGCTGTGAGGAGCGGGTAGTGGTCCGTGACGTGCACGATGTCTCCTCTCGTTTCCTCTATGGCAATCGCGAAGGCCGTGATCTCTGCCCGCGGTACGGTTTGACGCCGTCCTGGTAGGTCTGCCATCGTGCCTGCTGACATACTCCACTTGCCGTCGATCATCTTCATGGTCGCCACTCCGATGCCTACCCGTCTCCTGCGGGGGTCGCCACCGTAGCAACCGCCTGAGCCATCACCAAATAGATAGAGGCTGCGTCCTGGCACTCGAGCTGCTTCGTGGTCGCCGAACCTGACGTAGTCCTGCCTGTCGATGTCGTTGACCACTGGGTGAGTGAGCTCTCTGGGCGGTATACCTCGGAGCCATAAGGTCGGGTTTGCCTCGACGCCCGCGAGCGCCTTTGGCACCAAGTAGTCCGTCTTCTCATAGTTTTCGTGTCCTGTGTTGGCCGTACAGGTGTAGATGCGGTGGAAGATGGTCTCGGGCTCTTGCTTGCACCTCTCGCAGATGTTCGTGTCGCACTCGTAGCCAGCCTGAATCTGTCGTTGCCGAGTCCATTGCCCACCCGTAACCACCACGTTATTGAGTGCCCAATCTTGCCATTCAGCCCGCTGGCTGTATCTTTGTTGCTCCTTACTTATGTGCCATATGTCTCCTCCTCGTTGCAAATCGTCCCCGTGCAAATGCGTAGCTGCTTGAGCCCACCTCGCCATTTCCAGGTCGTGCTCCAGATCCTCCAGCAGCTGTGTGTACTCAATAGCATCAATGTCGCACTTGCCATCGTCGTCTATGAAGGGGAGCGGCCATTGTTCGTCACCTTGTGGTGTCGGTCGCTCCCATAGTGCCGCCTGTATTGGCTTCCACCCCGCCGCCATTAGAGTAGCCTGCACCGCTGCCACTGGGCCGTGTACCTTGCGCCACAGCTGCGTGCCTGCCCTGATCAACTTACGGTAGGTCGGTCCCCATGCTTGTCGTACTCGTCGATGAATTTCTGGGTGAAGAAGCCATTGGTGTAGCCATTCGCTGACAAGTTGCCGTCGCAGGCTGATGCCTGGGTCCTTCAAGTGATACAGCACAGCCATGCCAGTGGATAAGCACCTTCCTGGTCCTGTGCCAGCCGCCGACTTCATGGCCATCCGTCGTAACTGTAATATTCGGCTAGGTGCGATTCCCCAGACCTCGTGCCCATAAGTCTCCTGGGGTGAGACGCCTGTGGTGAAGAGGCCCTTGGTAATCCTTGCCACACGCGTCGCCATCCTTCGCAACCTGAAAATCTTGCCCGCTCGCTGCTTGGCCTTTCGCTG